CATCGCAAATTTTGCATAAAAGAAAAGAACAATTTCCGTTTAACGATTATTCTTTAAAAATGACCTAACTGCTCAACATAGACGGATCCAAAACGCATTCCTTGTGGACGGGGTGGGGAGAAGGAGAGGGGGAGGGGGAGGACGGGGCGACGGGAGTATGGGGGAGAGTGGGCGCTCACATGTGTAAATTAAGGAGCGACAGGGACAGAGCTCCTCCCACTTTGGAACTATGCAAAAACAACGAATAGAGTTGTAACACTGCTGCTTAGAGTTTAGTATTATTTATGAACTGACCCGGGCTTCTGTAGGACTGGTGCTTGTGCCGTTAGGTGGGGAGAGGAAGGGGCGAAACACCCCTCACCCCCTCCCCCCGCCCTGGATCCGTTTATTCTATTCAATGGGCATTCCCGTCAAAAGTGTTAAGTGCCCGTACGTGAGAACCACGTATACCAGCAGGGTGAATTTGAAATATTTAAGTTGTACTTGGACAGGGGATATTCCCCTATAATTTCAGCTTTCCGGCTTTTTTGGTTCCCGAACTAATAATTTTCCTGTCAAAACTTTCACATACCTGTGCTTGAATACTACACTTACCACGGGGCTGTGTTTGAAATCTTTAACTTGTATGTGAAAATGGAATATAGTCTTAAAATTTCAGCCTATCATCTTTTCTGGTTGCCGAGTTAGCAATTAAAAAACTCTTACGTTCCCATACATGAGAACCACGCATACCTAGGTGCTGAATTTGAAATCTTTAGCTCACACATGCACAGGGAATATCTCTGCAAAGTTTCAGTTCTCTATCTTTTCTGGTTCCTGAAATCGCTCTCCTGCCAAAAAATTTACATATTTTTTCAAGGTGTCCGTACGTGGCACCCAGCCTTACGCGAGTGGTGATATTAAAACGGGATAGTCGCACTCCCGAAGTTTCACACTTCTAAATTTTCTAGTTCTCGAGTCGAAAGTAGGTGACAAAAAGTGCGAACACACAAGCACACAGTCAGCCTCTTGCCAATACGTGTTTTTGCATTTGCATATATGCAAAAAATTAAAAAACAAGCTATTCATAACTAGTTTTGATAAAAACGCCTGATCACTACAATATTAATCTGATAAAAACTAGATGATAGACAATACCTACTGTCGACAGTTTCTTCCTTTTTTGTGCCAAGTCTCGGACTGAGAGTTACATTTCAGCAACACTTTCACAGTTAGAAATTTTGTGGATCCAGGCTAAAATAATTTCCTTGACTTCTTTTTGATGGGATCGTTTTGAGAGCGTAGCAGGAGCTTTTGCGGATACGTTTACACTTTGTCAAAGTTTGCGCCGAGGTTTTAGGATCATTCAAATGGACCGTTATACACCGTCACCAAATACAATCGCGTCAATTTATGGAGCTTCGATACTGGACGAATCTTCCGTTTGCCGGGCAGTATCACAACCCGCTGCACTGACTAAGGCATGGCTTTGAATACGGTAAATAGGCGCATGTGCGGGATGTTTTTTTTTTTTTTGCGTTTTTGCAAATGTGCGTGAATCGCTCTTATATCTTTCTGTCTGTCCGTATGTTTGCAGTTCATCGTACAGCTAAACTCTAGGACTGCGACAGCTAGTGAAAAAATGAAATTTTGGGAATATGGCTCGTAAAAATGCATGGAAGGCATTCTTTGTCCCTTTTTGCTCTAGGCACTTAGTTTCATCCTCGAAATGCAGCTGACATTTCATTTCGGCAGCAAAACCCAAGCAGCGTCGCACCAGGCTTGCCGGTGGGATCATGCATTTTTGTGTTAAGCTTAGGCAATTAAGCATATTGCATATTTTTGCCCCTCACAAGCATCAGATAAGTGTTGAGAAAAAAACAGCTAACCCTCCCTTCTGCTTGATTGTGGTCTTAGCTGTATGGATATGCGTAACGCCACTATCTTTATACGGCGGCTTTTCCGTGATGAAGTAGCCTTATCCAGCTAGTTTTCTGGAAGACAACACACTGTCAGCGATTATCCACTGTCTTTGCGGAGATACAGCCATATCCCAAGAGCTTGTATAAACAGAGAGAGAGAGAGAGCTGTCATTGCTTAATTCACAGCGCGCGGAAAATACGAGTTTTCAGCAAGTGGATCAGCTTGCATATGAAATACCGCATAATAAATACGCGAAAAATCCGTGGAGTTACGCACCCGAATTTTTAAAAGTGTTTGGTGATGTACGAGCGCATATTGGTGGGCAAGCGATTTTCGACTGTATCTTGCTTGGATCACCAAGGCCGAAGGCTTGTTTTTCTGCGTTTCATAGTTTCAAGTAAAAAACACAAGAAGCACGAATGATCGGAAATACTTTTACTTAGATATTTGAAACTTTTGCGACACTCTCCAATGATATAGTTGACAATCACGTCACCGGTATCGTTGTTGGAAGTGGAGCGTCCACAGCAGAGCAGCGAATCGGCTCTGAGCGTCGATGGCCTTCCAACTGTCCTTTCGAAAAGTTAGCTTAATTTTTTCTTAGGAAGAACTTTCAGCTTTATTTCCAGGTTTTGTGGTTGTTCAATAATGAAAAGTTGAAATTTGATGATGTTCAAATAGACGACACAGCTGATTTGTGTAGGTTGACGATACCATATGTGCAATCATATCACTATGGTACCTATACAGTGCTATGTGAGAATGAGGTGGGCCGAGCAGTAGCTTCTGCCGATCTCATGCCAATGTACAAATAAAGTTTTGGCTAATTTTTGTGTCTGTGTGCGTTTTCTTTCGCAATTTTTCATACAGCAATTAGCAGTAATTTTTCAGAATTCATGGCCAAGAAAGAGAGGTTTTGTTAAGTGTAGTCTGTTGCTCCAGAAGTCCACTTTTGTGCAACTCATTCTGAAATGAAGCCATGGTATTGCTTGTGTTTTTATTCTATTGTTATGTCAGTGGATTTCTAGACGTTTGTTTATTGCCGTCTTTGTTCTCCTTTCTTCAGCAAGATCACTGTCGTAAAGCATATTTCTTCTGGACTCCCGGACACGGCTTGAAAAAGAATAAAATTAGAAATGTGTGCTGAAAAATAAGAAAACTCGCATACAGATCTGGTCACTTTCTAAATCCCACAGCAAGCCGAGTATCGCTAAGACTGCCAAGAAAAATTTTTCGGGATTTACTTTTTTTAAAAAATTAATTTCAGTCGCATTTTAATGCGTTTGTGCGGCGCATTTTATGTGTCATCGTATTAATTATTCTTAATTGCTCCAATTTTAATAAATTTCAAAGCCTTTTACTCCTGTCCTCTTCTTCTTGTTCTCTTCTTCATTTCTTTTTTACTGAGATTTTCAAAGGTTCCTTCGTATTTTAAGAAAAACGTAGGCTGGAACGCACCAGGCGAGCCGGAGCGATCATGCGTTTTTGCACAAAACTTG